CTGAGCGGCCACGGTTCACGGGCCCAGCCGCTCCGCCGCATGAGGGATCTTCCCGGACCGGGGCACGAACCCGTGTCTGCAGGCGAACTCTCAACCACTGCGCCACCAGGGAAGCCCCCGCCGATAACAGTTTGATTAAGTAAAGATGTGAGTATTCTACAGTATTCTAAAACTTCTTCCTTTCTCATTTTTCTGCTCCCAGATCGCTTCTTGTCTTTACTTTATCCTGGGAAAAGAGTTGACACAACACAACACTTTAAAAACAGATTTAAAGTACTAGACTCTTTCCAACCTTACATCAGGCTTGTTAACCTCTGTTTCAGAGAGGTAATTGTGTGTTTAGATTGTTAGTATTAAAAAATAAATAAAATAAATAAATTGTTAGTATCTTTTCTTGCTGCTGTAGCTAGACTCTAGGCAGGATATAAGAGTAAATAAACATATAAATAAGCAAACATTTTATTTGAAGACTTTTAGATAGTGTCTGGTTTTGTTGAAAATATTTGCCGTAGTAATGAAATGCCTAGAATATGAATATTCTAGAATGGGTACAAGAAGGTGATGTATAAAACAACCCCTTTCTCTTCCCATTCTCACCTTCATCTTCTGCTTTTCCCCATCCAGTCACCCAGCAAGAGTCTGGAATTGTCCACTGCTTTTTGACACTGGACAAGCAAATAGGCAGGATGGAAGAACTGTAGGTGACTCTAGAGAACAGCCTTAACAAGGCAATGTCTGCAGTGGTACCATGGTGTTTGGGATGGATGACAATTCGGAACATGCCTGTATTTGAATGGCCTATGTCAATTGATCCCAGCCACACAGTATATAAGAAAGGAATCCAGCGCCTAAGGGGAAGAGGAAGAGGAGAATAAAAGTGCAGCATGCTTTTGTGCTACAGCCGGGCCAGAACACGCTGCCTGTGTGTAGCACTAAGTCTTTAGGTAAGAAAGGAGGGTAACAGACTTGGAATTAACCAGGCTGCTTCCAACTTGGCATAGGGTTGTTTTGTCTTCGTTTCTCCTTCCCTCACTCCCTGATCACTCTTTCTTTTGTTGTCTGCTGTTTCTGTGGTCTCCTTTTATATGATTATGGCCAGAGTTTTGTCCTGTATTTTTTCCCTGGTTCTCTTATTCACCTCTACTATTCTCCGTGGTTTCAGCCATAGCCTATATGCTTAACAGTCATTGTTGTTTTATTTTCACTTTTGAGTTCTGAGCACTAGACCTTCATTTCTAAATTAAAAAATTAAAGCAAAATATAACCACCAAAATTCATATATATATATATATATATATGATATATATGTAATTTAAATGTTCAGTAGTTTGATCAGATTTACAAAATAAATAAATAACAGAAGTTCTCTGCCCTACTGCCCTCAATTCATGCTACCCAAAGGCAATCACTTTCAACTCTTAGCTCTTTTTTTTTTTTTGCGGTACACGGGCCTCTCACTGTTGTGGCCTCTCCCGTTGCGGAGCACAGGCTCCGGACGCGCAGGCTCAGCGGCCATGGCTCACGGGCCCAGCCGCTCCGCGGCATGTGGGATCTTCCCAGAC